AATTCACTTCTATTCCCTCAGATCCCTCGCAGGAAAATGTGATCCGGGACTTCTTTTGGAGTCTGGCGTGTCGCCCCCGTGGACTTTAAAAATTGAATTTGATCTATCATTTTATTTAATTAAATAAACGTAGCTAAAATGACGTAATAAAAAATAACGCTTCGGATGTAATAGTCCCAGGCCACATGCAAATATCATTTAAATTCTTACGCATGGAGTTTCTATAGAAATTTTTCAGCGACCCAAAACTTATTTCAGTTCCCCTTAAAATGGACGTTGATTCTCGACCGCCGGAAGGAATCGAAACGGTGCCGGCACGCGGCCAGCACCACAAACCTGGCATCGTAAATACGCCGGAAATGGACGCAATTGAACCGGAAACCCACCGCCGGGACTCGGCCAAATCCGGCGACGATTTTGCGGATTTGCCGACCCCGGATTTGGTGCCGGAATTCTCAGTCCGCAAAATCCCGATCAGCTTGGGTGGACTGAGCCTCAAAATGCGTAAAACTGCCCACAAGTCCACAAGAAAAACCGGTCTTCTTGGAGAAGAAGAGAAAGGGGACTTATGTGGAAAGGACGTGGGTGAAAAAGACTCGGGGGAAAGAGATGTGGGTGAAAGGGACGGGGGTGAAAGGGAGACGTGGGGGAAAAAAGTGGACTTTCTGCTGTCGGTGATCGGCTTTGCTGTGGACTTGGCTAACGTCTGGCGCTTCCCGTATCTGTGCTACAAAAATGGCGGAGGTGGGGACTTGTTTTAATGTGTGATTAGTTAATTGGTAATTAGGTAATTAATTAGATTTAAATAATAGGTAACTTTAATGGCTGATTAATTAATTGGTAATTAGGCAATTAATTAGATTTAATTAGTCGGTAATTTTAATGTGCGATTAATTAATTGTTAATTAGTAATGCTATGTACAATTATAACCACGTTAAGTAGGAGTTAATCAGTTGCTAACTCGTCATATTGAACAGTTAGAACCTGATTAATCATCTAATTGAGATTGGCCCCACGTGTCAGTTGATGATTGGGCCAATCAGCTGATGATGGGGCCAATCAGTTGATGATGGGGCCAATCAGCTGATGATGGGGCCAATCAGTTGATGATGGGGCCAATCAGTTGATGATGGGGCCAATCTGTTGATGATGGGGCCAATCTGTTGATGATTGGGCCAATCAGCTGATGATGGGGCCAATCTGTTGATGCGGGGGCCAATCAGTTGATGATGGGGCCAATCAGTTGATGATTGGGCCAATCAGCTGATGATGGGGCCAATCAGCTGATGATGGGGCCAATCAGCTGATGATGGGGCCAATCAGTTGATGATGGGGCCAATCAGTTGATGAT